TGATAATATTAAACTATGTAGAACATAAAGATGGAAAGATACTCTTTTGCAAGTCTGGCATACCAAAATCTGATACACAAAACACTCATTGGAATCACAATTCCAAGCAGGAAGGCTGGAGCACACACTGCCACTGTTGTGGCTGAAAGCACCAAGGGGTGTTCCCTGGAGCACACGGGTGGCTTGGTGGCTTGTCGCCCAAACACAGCTGTGGGGATATTTCACCTACTGTGGTCCTGTCCTCCTCTCACTCAAACTGCACTCCACATCTACGGCTTCACGGGTGTTCCTTTCGGCCAGTTGACAGAGGAGGATAATTGAGTAGAGTTTACCCCAACTGATCCAGTAAAAGTGCACAGCTGAAGTGTTACTCTCCCACTCCGGAGTGGCCCCAAAAGACAGCGTGGAGGAGAAATCCTCTCAGGGAGTGGAATTGAGAGCATGACATCTTGAACACTTTCCCCGAAGGCCAGATGGCCTGAGACATGGATCTACATTGGCTCACGGCCAGTAGTGGTTTTGCTGGATAACCGGGGACTCCAGAACAAGATGGGAGATTGGAGACAGGGTGGTTTGGGGAAGAGAATGTGCATGCATCACTCAGACCTGACCCAGAGGCAATAACTATTTGTGTGCCACGTGGATTCTCTCCAAAATGTCATCACTATGGAGGAAATTCTCAATAGTCAGGTGGACAAGATGACCCACCAGTGGATGAGTAAGTGCATGTAAGTCTCTCTCCTCAGTCATCCTTGAGCCCACTCAGGAATAAAGCAGTTTTGGCGGCATTATTCTGGCTACCTATCCAAGTAAGGGCCTAATGGCCTCTCCAAAGCTGAAGCAGCCACTGCCACCGATGAGGGTCTAACTTCCAGCAGTAAAGGCCAATTCTGTAAATCTGTTATCATACTACAGGGAGGAGGACCAGTTAGCTACTTGATGGGAAGTTAGTTTTACTGGGGCTCCTTCCATCGTGGAGGGGCAGGGACTTGACATCACCAGAATAACTATTTATATTGAAGTTGAATATACATCCTCTGTTTATCATGTTTCCATCCACACCACCGTCGGGGGCCTGAATAATGTCCTCCTCTCCATCACAACAACCCATATGACACTGTTTCTACCCAAGGATCAAGAAGTAAAGCAATGGGTTGAAAGTACAGTCAAGAAGTAAAGCAATGGGTTGAAAGTCGTGGGATTCACTGGGCTTTCATACATGCAGGAGCAGCTGGCCCTATAAAAGGGCAGAGTGGACTGTTACAAAGGATCAGTCCGGGCCAGTGTGGTGGTTCATGCCGGTAATCATAATACTTTGGGAGGCTGAGTGGGGTGGATTGCCTGAGCTCAGGAGTTTGACACCAGCCTGGGCAACATGGGGAAACCCCATCTCTGCTAAAAATACAAACAATTAGCCAGGTGTGGTGGTATGTGCCTGTAATCCCAGCTACTTGGGAGGCTGAGGCACAGGAATTGCTTGAACCAGGAGGTGGACATTGCAGTGAACCGAGATCATACTACTGCACTCCAGCCTGGGTGACAGAGCGAGACTCTGTCTCAAAGAAAGAAAAGGATCAGTCCCAGCACCCTGGTAGACAACATCTTATAAATTTGGGACACTGTCCTCCAGCATTTGGTATGTGAGCTCAACCAGCAACCAATTTAGAGTGATCACAGCAATTTTGGCACCAAAGCATGGATGTGGGAATGGTGCCCTTCACTGTTACCCAAATAACCCCCTTTCAGTAAATGCACTTCTTGTTTCCGCAGCTCTGCACTTGCTGGTTTCAAGGTTTTGATATCCAAAGGAGTAAAGCTTCGATGTGAGTACGACATAATGGCTGCCTACACAGGGAGTGAATATGGACAGCCCGCTATGGACTCTCCATGGTGCTGAACGAACAGGCCCAAAGGGAGTTCCCAGCTTTGGCTTCAGTGATTGATTTAGACCGGTGTTGTCAATACTGCGGCTGCTAGCTGCACTTGGCTATTGTATTTAAATTAGCTTGAATTAAACAAAATTAGAAGTTTAGCTTCTCAGACACATGAGCCACCTTTCAAGTGATCTGTATCCTCATGTGGCTCCTGGCTGCCATATTAGCCAGAGCAGCTATGGAACATTTCCATCCATGCAGAAAGTTCTATGGGACAGCACTGATTTAGACTATCAAAGGTAATGGGGAGGTCACTGCAACGGGGACATGAGAAATGAGGTTGACTTCCAGGGACCCTCTGTCCTGCCTGCTTGTCCTGCTGTGGTCAACATGGGAGAAGATCCAACAAATCTATTTAGGTGAGGGCACCAGGGCTTAGCTCCCTCAGGAATAATGGTCTAGGTCACCCCACCGGTAAAGAACGCCTGCCACCCGGGGTGTGGGCGGAGGGCAAAGGATGGAATAAATGAGGGGGGAGGTCACACAGCCTAGCCACAACCGTATGGAAACTGTATGTTTTTCCCCACAGTGCCATGGGTATGCAAAAATAAAAAATATATTTTAATGAATTGATCTTGTCTTTCCCTTTAATCTGCGATTGTATACATTGTTTGCAGAACATTGAGACAGGATTGGGACAGAACTAGAGAAGGAATGGACTTCACCCAGAAATACTGGACTTGGAGTTCTACAGGGTAACCAATTAGGCTGTTCTGGCATTGCTACGAAGAAATACCTGAGAGTGGAAGATTCATACAGAAAAGAGGTTCTGCAGGCTGCACGGGAAGCATAACGCTGGCATCTGCTTCTGGGGAGGCCTCAGGGAGCTTCTGCTCATGGTGGAAGGCAAAGGGGTAACAAGCGTCTCACGTGGCAAGAAGCAACAACCAGTCTCCCGAGAACTCACTGTCTTCCCTGACCCAAACACCTCCCACCAGGCCCCATCTCCAGCACTGGGAATTACATCTCAACATGAGATTTGGAGGGGACATGCAAGCTGTATCAGCAATTGAGAAAAGAAATGAAGATATTTTCAGATGTTAGCCTGCACCTTCTGAGGGAGGGGTACTAAAGGCCCAGAAAGAACGTGGAACTGTGATAAAACCTTGGTGATTTTGCCTGCCCAGAGTTTGATTCTCCCAATAGCCTTCCCATGTCGGGTTAAGTAGAGCTGGTCTCTGCTGTTGGCAAACGAAACCTCTGACTGATCCAGAAGTCTAAATGTTCGTGAAGAACGGACCACGTGGCTGTTTGCAAATAACATGTTTGTCTTCCCAATCAACAGAAAAAGAAAATAGAAATCATCAAGGAATTTACTGTGGTGCAAAAAACAATAGTAAGTTTTGGAGGTGATGGACATGCTAACTACCCTGATTTGGTCACGACACACTGGTGAAACATCACGCTGTACCCCACAAATATGTACAATTACTATGTGTCAATGTTTTTAAAGGTCAAGAATTTACAGTGGTGGCCAGATACAAGATTGCTTTCTTGTTTATCAGTTTTATTCTGAAATAAAATCTTAATTTTTAAAACCTATTTTCAGCCAGGTACGGTAGCTCACACCTGTAATACCAGCACTTTGAGAGGCTGAGGTGGGTGTATCACCTGAGGTTAGGAGTTCAAGAACAGCCTGGGCGACATGACGAAACCCTGTCTCTACTATAAATACAAATGTTAGTCGGGCGTGGTGGCCGGCACCTGTAATCCCAGCTACTTGCAAGGCTGAGGCAGGAGAATCGCTGGAACCCAGGAGGCAAAGGTTGCAGTGAGCCAAGATTGTATCATTGTACTCCAGCCTTGGCGGAAAGAGCGAAACTGTGTCTCAAAAAAGAAAAAAAAAAAAAACAAACTATTTCCAATGTAAAATAAAACCAGACCCAGAAGGGCCTTAAATGCCCAACTGTTTTGTCCTGGAGGACGTGAGCAGCCAGAGAAGGTGTGAGAGCAGCAAGGCCCAGTACAAAGCCTGGTTGCAGGAGTGTGTGTGAGGGTGGGGCCTCCCAGGACCAGGGGGAGGTGCCTGCTGCTGTATGCGGCACGGGGACCTGGGGCTGGGCATGGCTCAGATCCACGGCAGTGCCAGCTGCAGTGCACTCTGGTGAGAGATGGGGGTGTCTCACCCACAAGAGCCAAAGGAGAGAGTAGGAGGGCCTGGGGTATTGGAAGGATCTTTTGCGGAGTGTGTATCAGTGCAGCCCCTCAGCAGATGCAAGTTTTGTGGGCCCTAAGCTTGTGCAATTTGGAGGCCTGCCTTAAGGAAAATAATAAAAATCTTAAAGACAAAATTAGGAGCTGGGTGCAGTGGCTCACACCTGTAATTCCAACACTTTGGGAGGTCAAGGCAGGACGGCTTCAGGCCAGGAGTTCGAGACCAGCCTGGGTAACATGGTGAAACCGTCCCTACTAAAAATTCAAAAATTAGCTGGGCCTAATGGCATGTTCCTGTAATCCCAGCTACTCAGGAGACTGAGGCATGAGAATTGCTCTTGAACCCTGGGAGACTGAGGTTGTAGTGAGCTGAGGCGCGCCACTGAGCTCCAGCCTGGGTGACAGAGCGAGACCCTGTCTTAAAAAACAAAAAGACAAACTTAGGTACAAACATGAATAGTTACTTGGGATGAGAAATATGAGAAACTAAAACAGCCTGCAAATAAGAAAATTGGACACTACAAACATTGTAAAATACCCTCCATAGCAGTGTGTTTCTTATTCAGTGCTTAATAGACATTTGTAATACCTTTTTTCCCTTCATTTTTGGCTATATGTCATTTAGCTGCTTTTTCATATGACAGTATTTTGGGCTGCCATTTTCTTTCTTTCTTTTTTTTTTTTAGACGAAGTCTCCCTTTGTCGCCCAGTCTGGATTGCAGTGGTGCAATCGTGGCTCACTGCAACCTCCACCTCCTGGATTCAAGTGATTCTCCTGCATCAGCCTCCTGAGTAGCTGGGATTACAGGTGCCCGCCAAAACACCCAGCTAATTTTTATATTTTAAGTAGAAATGGGGTTTCACTATGTTGGCCAGGCTGATCTTGAACTCCTAACCTCATGATCCACCTACCTTGGCCTCCCAAAGTGCTGGGATTACAGGCATGAGTCACCACATCTGGCCTTGGCTGCCATTTCCTATAAAGAAAATAGAAAGATAACTCATTGCTTGCCGTGGCGTGGTTGACTAATTTGTCATTTTATTAGTGAGAGTTTACAAAAATCTATTTTGGTTTCATGACTTACTGGTAAAGTTGTATAAATTTTTATAGGATTGTTGTCAAACTGGGGGAAACCTTTATCAAATTTCTTTTCTAAGTGAGCTATAAGATTTCAGGGGTTTCAAGTTTTCTTGCACTAAGGACCAATCTTAAATACTCTGAATTGATGGTGCTCGTTAAGGAGAGCAATTCAGATGCATTCTTAAATTGCTACTACATTGCTTTCAGCTACATAATTGTGTAATAAAATTACTCTTATGTTCTATCCACCATACTTACTGATGAGCTGGTGTAGGAGTTTGGTGGCAGGAATGCTTGTTTCTTCAGGCTGTCTTGCTGTGTTGGTGACAATTTCATGTGCCATTTCATCCAGAACTGCCAGACCTTATTAGGACAAGATGTATCAGTTACACCAAGATGTGATTCCATATACTGGGGTACATAAAACATCCAACTTCACACACAAAAGTACTTGGTGCTTGTAGAACTGCTGTAACACTCAAGCACTCACTATCAGCAGTGATTTTTTTTTTTTTAAGACAGGCTCTCTCTCTGTTGTCCAGACTGGAGTGCAGTGGCTCAATGACAGCTCACTGCAGCCTTGACTCTCAGGCTCAAGTGATCCTCTACCTCAGCTTCCCAGATAGCTGGGACTATAGGCACACACCCTCCACAGCTGGCTAATTTTCATATTTTTTGTAGAGAGAGTGTTTCACCATGTTGCCCAAGCTGGTCTCAAACTCCTGGGCTCAAGTGATCCTCCCACCTCAGTCCCCCAAAGTGCTGGGATAACGGGCATGAGCCACTGTGCCTGGACTAACAATGGAATTCTGATCAATTTTATTTTGCATGAATCTCATCAAAGAGAAACAAATGTGTGGCACACATGTCATGGTATATGCTACATTACTGCATGTATTCTTGATGAGAGAGAACCTTCGTTCTGACTGGGCATGTTTGAGAAACGAGTCCCATATTCTGATGGTGTAAGAATTTTCTACAGACTAGCTTCGGGCTTTGTACAAACTTTGTTTCTCTTCCACAAACTGCTAGTGGTGGGAGTGACATTCATATTTCAATATGGCATCTGGCCCTGCATCATCATGTCACAATGACGGGTGAGGCAGCATGGTGAGTACTGGTGGATAGGAGGACCATTCCTGGAAACCATTCCTAAACCAGAATGGCTAGTAATAATTATACACTGTAAGCTTCATAAATAGATCCCACTAAGCCAGATAAACATGTCTTTGACGCAACTTCCCTTTAACCAGATCCCCAAAATGCCCATGGCCATCCCAAACCATCCCACATGTGTGGAAATACAACACAGAAGTTGGCGTGGAAGAGACAGTGATCTTCACAGATTGTAGTTGAAACATTTTACTCCTATAGGTTTTACAGAAACATTAGGACCGTGTAAATACATTGCTAGTACCACTCCTGTGGCTTTGGAGGGGAATGTTATTAAGCTTAATTCACAACACACTTCATCCTCCTTTGGGCTTGGGCTGCCGGAGTGGGAGCTGGGGAACCAGGGAATGGTCCCATTCATCATCCTCTCACCACAAAGCACTCCACAGTTCACACAGCAACCCTCATGCTCGCCTTCTCATTTCTTCGGGCAGGCCTTGTCATTCCCACTCCACAGAGAAAAGTGGAGGCCCAGAGAGGAAGAACTCTAGGCCAGGGTCACATAGTTGGCAAGTGACAGAGCCCAGCTTTCTGGGGTCCCCAGTCAGGCGTTCAATCCCTGCACCAGGGTCCTTCTGCCTCATCTGAGCCCATTGTCATCCTGACGGGGGCAGGGAAGGAATCACGTCCCTGTCTCATAGAAGTGGTGGCCTTTATATTCACCCATCTACACCCACAGGACAGCAGAGGGGACACTTGGTGCAGAGAAATTTATTTAACTCTCACGGCAGTGTGCAGGGAGTGTTACCCCCATGTTCTGGTGGAGGAAACTGAGGCTCACGGAGGTCACGTGGTCTGATTAGGAGTCGGGGAAGAGGCACCTGAAGCCAGGTCTCTGGACTCGTAGTTCAATGCTCTTTTGCTGATCTTTGCTTCTTCCCCTTTAGAGATGGACGGGACCTCGGACTATCATCCAGCCCAATCCCCTTTCCACATGAGAAACCGAGGCCAAGAGGAGAAGCCGGGTCCTACAGCAATCGGGACGGATGCCTGACTCAGCAGTCTGGTTCGCCTCTCTCCTTCAGGCCCCCGAGAACCTTCGATCTGCTCCCTCATGTCTAGGGATCCCCATTGCAGGCTGGACCTTTGCTCTGACCTTTGAGTGACCCATCCAGCAACAGCCTGGACCAACCAAGCCTATGACTGTCCGTCTGTCCAAACTCCTCTACCTTGAAACTGTCTCCACCCACAGCCCAGGAAGAGAGAGACGAGTGCCTGGCAGCCCGAGAGCACAGAGTCACCACGCCCTCATGGCCGAAGCTGATTGGGTGACACCCGATCCAGGAAAGCCAATCCAGTCTGAGCAAAGCCAGGCAGCTCTGAGAGCGCAGAGTCACCACGCCCTCATGGCCGAAGCTGATTGGGTGACACCTGATCCAGGAGAGCCAATCCAGTCTGAGAAAAGCCGACTGAGTAGGCGGCAAACCGGAGTGATGGGAGAGAAGCCGGACGGATGCAAATGCAGAGCCCACTGGCAGAGGTGCAGAGGCACCCACCGGAGGCAGGAGGCCCCCAGAAACAGCCGCCGCCCTGTAAGTTTCCCACGCCCATGAGCCTTAACAGTCCCTGTGTCTGTGCTTTAACACACTCGCCTACCGAGTCGCAGGAGAGGGTTTTTGTGCCCTGCAATTTAGACATTATAGAATTTATTTTTATTTCAGAATAATGGCTAATGTTTATATGGTTCACAAATCAAAACCAAATGAAAGGAATACCTTAGGAAGTCTCATTCCCACTCACCCTATTCTTTAGTCCCCACTCACCTCATTCCCACTCACCCTATTCCCAGACACCCTATTCTTTATTTAGTACCCAGTCGTCACTTTTATTCATTTCTGGCCTATGTTTTCCAGCATTTCTTGGTGCAGATATAAGCAAATACCAATATATTCCCTCTCTCTCTCATTCTCTCTCTCTCTCTCTCTCTCTCTGTCTCTCTCTCTCTCTTTTTTCTTTTCGTGAGATAGAGTCTCGCTCTGTCACCCAGGCTGCAGTGCAGTAGCACAATCTCACCTCACTGCAACCTTGACCTCCTGGATTCAAGCAATTCTCCTGCCTCAACCTTCCTACTTACTAGCTGGGATTACAGGCACACGCCACTATGCCTGGCTAATTTTTATATTTTTAGTGGAGACGGGGTTTCACCATGTTGGCCAGGCTGGTCTTGAACTCTCGACCTCAGGTGATCCTTCTGCTTCAGCATCCCAAAGTGCTGGGATTACAGGCGTGAGACACCACGCCCAGCCCCAATATATTTTCTTACTCTACCCTCCTTACCCAAAGGGAGCATTTATTTGTGTTCCTTGAGATCGCATCACGGCACTCCAGTCTGGCAACAGAACAAGATTCCATCTCAAAAAAAAACAAAAAAGAGCAGCTCCTATATGACGTCCTTAGCCTGCCTCTCTGCTACCCTCAATGCACCAGGCTGGTGGCGCTGGACGCTGGACAGAGCTGAGCCCCAATGATGAAAGAGAGCAATTGGCCTGCACAGGGTAAGGGGCAGGAAGCAAAGCTTGTCTATTTTTCTGCACCCGTACATGAGGGCACAGCTGCCGGAGACTGCAGTCCTATGGGAATCACTGGAGCTGTCCTTGCCTTTCAGTGAACCAGCACCTTCATATGTGTGGAGGCCTTAATATCACCTGAATCCCGTCAGTCGGAGCCCCTGGTCTGGAGGGAGCCACACTGTTCAATCAACAAACCATTACGAAGGCCCTGCCATGAACTGGGCACAGGATAAGAGATGCACAAGAAACAGCTCTTCCTCTAAATAGCCTAAGAACTGCAAACAATTGTCTGGGTGCAGTGGCTCATATCTGTAATCCCAGCACTTTGGAAGGCCGAGGTGGGCAGATCACCTGAGGTTGGGAGTTTGAGACCAGCCTGACAAAAACGGAGATAACTTGTCTCTACTAAAAATACAAAATTAGCTGGGCATGGTGGTGGATGTCTGTAATCCCAGCTGCCCAGGAGGCAGGAGGCTGACGTAGAAGAATTGTTTGAACCCCAGAGGTGGAGGTTGCAGTGGGCCGAGATCGTGCCATTGCACTCCAGCCTGGGCAACAAGAGCGAAACGCCATCTCAAAAAAAAAACTGCAAAGAATCCAAATGTCCCTCTGCTATAAAATACATACATTCTTTGTGCTATCATTACACAACTGAATATATGAATAGTCACAAGAAATGAATGCACCTCTTCATGCAACAACATACATGAATCCCATAAATATAATGTGGAGTGAAAGACGCTAAACACAGAAGATCATGACTCTTCATGATTCATGTATATGGAAGATTTTATTCATAAAAAGTTCAAAAGCAGATAAAACGGATCTAGTGTTAGAGTCCGGATGGTGGAGAGTCCTGCTGGGGAGGATGGCAAGGGACCGTGAGAGATTTCTGGGTAGCTGGCCACCACTGTTTCTTCATCTGGGTGGTGGTTCCACAGCTGCTCTCGCTTTGTAACAGTAAAGCCATGTACTTACTGTTTATGTACTTTTCTGTTTTTTTTTTTAATTCAGTAAAATTTTTAATTAAAAAAAGTAGGAAGTGGCAAATTGCGATATAAAGGACTTCTAAGGCGTCTCACACTCAGCGACCTGGCTGCCGTCTGTGTCACGTGCTGCTGAGCCGTAGAGCTGAGCACTGCGTTTGTTTTCCCATGTAATCCCCTGGGATTAAATGCACTCTGTGAAATCGGTATTATTCTTATCACCACACCCATTTTGAAGAAAGTACAGTAGTCCCCTCACATGCACAGTTGCACTTTCCACAGTTTCAGAAACCCACGGTGAACTATGGGCTGAAAATGGCAAATGGAAAATTCCAGAAGTAAACACTTACTACGTTTTAAATGTTGTATCATTCAGAGTAGCATGATTAAATCTCTCGCCATCCTGCCCGGGATGGGAATCCACCCTTTGTCCAGTGTACCCGGCCATTGGGTGGTGTATACGGTGAGGGTGCACTGGACACTCAGTAGCCCTCTTGGTAATTGGATGAAAAAACACAGTGGATATAGGGCTCCATACTGTCCTTGGCCTCAGGCACCCAATGGGGGACTTGGAACTTATCCCCTGAGGATAAGGGGGACTGCTATACTAGTATATATATAAATATGCATATATATATATGCATATATATATGCTGTCTGCAGTATATATATATATATATATATATATATATATATACTTTTTCTTTTTCTTCTTTTTTTGAGACAGAGTTTCACTCTTGTCACCCAGGCTGGAGTGCAGTGGCACCATCTCGGCTCACTGCAACCTCTGCCACCAGGTTCAAGTGATTCTCCTGCTTCAGCCTCCTGAGTAGCTGGGATTGTAGGCATGCACCACCCCACCCAGCTAATTTCTTGTATTTTTAGTAGAGATGGGGTTTCACTATGTTGGTCAGGCTAGTCTCAAACTCCTGACCTCAGGTGATACACCCACCTCAGCCTCCCAAAGTGCTGGGATTACAGGGGTGAGCCACCGCATCTGTCCTATACTAGCAAATATTATTCCTTATTTTACAGATGAGGAAACTGAGTCCCAGAGAGTTTAAAGTAACTTGGCTAAGGTCACCTGAGGAGTAAGAACTCAGAGTCGCATCTCAGCAGTTGGTCCTGGGACCCATGCTGTTTGCCACCCCACTGACTCAGTGTGTCAGCTGTGTATCTGTTTCACTCCCTTCCCGGTTCCTGGAAAAGTGTTTTCCAGCTACACAATTCATCCCGCAATTCATGTGGCATCTTTGCCATGTTTGATGACACGAAAAACAATAATGGCTCCTATTGTTTCCAGCACTTGCCAATAATAGACAGACTTTTAAAAAGCTTGGGACACAGTGCCAGGAAAATAGCTGAACAAAAGGTCTTCTGTATTTTGTCAGTAGAAGCAGAGTTGTGAGGGGCAACACAATGCATTTTCACTGCCAAGAAACTTGAATAATGATTTTCTGCCTCTGTAAAGGCCTGAATCTATTAAGGCTTTATAATTGGTAAAGAGTAATACACGAGCAAATGGAAAGTATTATCCATCCTCAGCACCCCTTTGTGTCCTCTTTTATCTCGGAACTGCTAAAATGTTTCAGTTAACTAGGCATAAGAATTCAGAGTAATCAGTGTATTACTCTGTATCTAAAAATGCAGAGGCAAGTTTTAGGGAAACACACCAGATTATTAATAATAGTTATCTCTGGGTTGTTCTTGTAGACTCAAATTTTCTATAATGAATATATGCCAACTTTTAAAGCAGACAACAATTTTTCAATCAGGCTAGAATACATAGTTTTATAAAATACGTAACTACGATTGTATTAAAATGTGCACATGGCAGAAATTGTTAATAGGTTTTTTTCCAGATGTAGAGAAATGAACTTTTTTCTTTCTTCTACTTTTTGGAATTTTCCGATTTTTCTGTAACAGTCATTGTATTCGTCAGCATTCTTGATGATAAATGACAGGAATAGACTCCAGCTACCTTGAGCATGAGAGGATTTATTGTAAGAACATTAGGTAGTTCCAGCATTCTTTGGAATGCTGGAGGCTAAGGAAGGTTTAGCAGGAGGGAGCTCAGCCAAGGTCAAACTGCAGGGATGGTGTGGTTAGAAGGCTGCTGCTGGCACTGCCACCCGGCACACACAGCCACAGCCGGCACTGCCACCTGGCACACATGACCACAGCCGAAACTGCCACCCAGCATGCACGGCCACAGCTGGCATTGCCACCTCGACACACATGGCCACAGCTGAAACTGCCACCCGGCATGCATAGCCACAGCGGCATAGCTACCTCAACACACAGCCACAGCCGGCGCTGCCACCCAACATGCACAGCCACAGCCGAAACTGCCACTCGGCACATATGGCCACAGCCAGCATTGCCACTTCGGCACACACAGCCACAGCCGGCACTGCCACCCAACATTTACGGCCACAGCCGGCACTGCCACCCCAGCACACACAGCCGCAGCCGGCACTGCCACCCCGGCACACACAGCCACAGCTGGCATTGCCACCCCGGCATGCATGGCCACAGCTGGCGCTACTGCTAGACTCAATGCTTGCACTGCCACTGTAAACATTCTCTTTCACCGTCCCTGTGTCTTTGCGTCACTCTCTCAAGGTCCAGATTCCTGGGCAGGATCATCTGACTTGCCAGCATTCATCACATGGTCATGTTGTAGCTGCCTGAGTGCAGGCAGAAAGACTGTCAGGCTCCAGACTGGGTGCCCCCAAAATTCATACAGTGGGATTTTCCCCAACAGATAGGGTGATCCAATGCAGGGTGGCACAA